TTAGATTTGAATCTGCTGTAGTATATCTAAAGAAAAGAGTCAATTACTAATTAGAAATTGGCCCATTAATATTAATACAAACTGAATGATATTTAATACAGATCAAATGATATTTAATGCAGGCCAGATTATATGTTAATGCAGGCCAAATAATCTCATTAAAAATCCTGTGTGTGACTAACTAAAGTAAAATCACTATCCAAAAAAGTTTCAAAAGTTATGTAATATTATTAATTCCAGACCAACTTACTAAATTTTTCAGAATTTATAAAAACAGCTATAAGATCCCTAGATTTTGTCAGCCTATCAACATATAATCTAAAAATTCGATATTTTAATATTGATATAACTGATTTATGTAAGCAATTAATTACTACATATATTATCATTATACAGTTATATTTTTAATAATATACTGTATTTTATGATCCAAACCACCCCTCTGTCATAAAATAATTATGGTCATATGGATATTTAAATAATGTATATGATAGTTTATTTATTATAATGTGTAAAAATCCAACAGAAGAATGGTTTGAACCATAAAATATGGTAGTCAATTTGTGATACATTGAATTCTAAATATATAACATATAAAAAAAAATTATTTGGAATAATCTACAAATTTGAATGGCTGCTAATGGCTTACTTATGATTTCATTTTTAAATCATTATGACATTATACTTTTCTATAGTAACAATAATGATGATAGCCAAAATTTAATCTTATAATAAGAATCATACTTACGTTATACTTTTCTATAGTAACAGAAATAATACTAGTAAAATTAAACTCATAATAAGATTTATATTTATGAGTCTATATTACTTGATTACTAATTCTTAAATCAATTTTTTTTTAATGTATTTATAAAGCAATTGAGTGAGTGCACTGTAAAACCATTTTTCCTACTAATTATGAATGAACTGAAAAAATTTGCTTGTAAATTGTACTTCGACGATGATAATTTAATTTCTGTGAAATGTAAAGACCCTAATATTTGCAAAATATGTAGTTGTGAAATTTCTCCTAATCATTTCAATCAGTAATTTTACTTGACTGCAGGCACTTCTTTTACTGGAAGTGTATTATGAAATATAATTGTTGTCCTTGCAAATATAAAGACTATGAAACACCAAATCAATATATTAAAATATCAACTCCACATTGTCTTGAAAAAATATTAAACATATCATCTTTTCAAGTACGAGCTGATAAACTACAAGCACAAGCAGATGAACTACAAGCACAAGCAGATGAACTACAAGTACAAGCCAATGAATGACAAGCACAAGCCAATGAACAGGTGCAATTCGATAAATTATAAGTACAAGATAATAATGAACAATAGCAAATTAATGAACAAGCACAAGTCAATAAACTACAAGTGCAAGTGTATAGGCAAGCACAAGGCAGGCAAGCACAAAGCAGGCAAGCACAAAGCAGACAAGTACAAAGCAGGCAAGTACAAAGTGGGCAAGCACAAAGCAGGCAAGTGCATGATGGGCAAGCACAAGGTGGGCAAGCACAAAGCGAGCAAGCACAAGGTGGGCAAGCACAAGGTAGGCAAGTGCAAGGCAGGCAAGTACAAAGTAGGCAAGTGAATAGCAGGCAAGAACAAGGTGGGCAAGCAAATGGCAGGCAAGCAAATGGTGAGCAAACACAAGGTGGGCAAGCCATGATGGGCAAGCACAAATCAATGGACAAACTAATGAATAGGTTAGCTTATTAAAATTTATTATACAGTGTTATATAATATTCATATTATGAAATGCATATTGAAAATTAATTTTGATTTAGGAAAATGAGCCTGCAAATAATATATTAAAACCTTCATTAATATTATCAAAAAGGCCATGTAGGTCAAAAGTACCAAAAAAATAACAGAAGTTGTCAAGGTTCTAATTACTCCTAATAGGACAGAAGATAGCTCAGTTGAAGCCTACAAACCAATGGGTCAAATTTTAGTTGATTTATTTAATATTGCAAAACAAGCTAAAAAGCAATCAAAAAAGTCTAATTCAATAGAAATTAGGAAATAGTATAATTATGCTGAAGCTTTTGAGAATTGAGTAAGGGAATTAATAAGTGAAGGCATAAAGGATAGAGCAGCTCATACACAAATATACAACATAATGTTACCTTATATGAGTCGTTAAATGACAATAGGCAATCTTCATCAGATAACACATAAGGCATGAAATATATTTAATATATTTAGTGAAGTTGGGTTGGAGCAATTGACCAAGCTGAATGTTTTATGACAAATCATCTTTCAAAATACAGCAATGATTATATTAAAAGAATTGTTAAATATATAAAGCGTAGAAGGGTTAGTTAAATCATGTAATCAACATTAATATGTATTTCATATAATTGCAATTAAATAAATTGAATTGGCATAACAAATAATCAGTAATAAATTAAAGTAATAGATTAAAGTAATAGATTATAAGTAATAATAATATCCTGGCTTATCAGAAATTAGTAGATTTTTTCCTAGATTGTGTTATAGCTATTATCATAAATTCTGAGACATTTGCTCATTACCTAAAATCTTTTTGGTCACTATGTAAATTACTTAACTCTTCAGTCCGAATATAGTAATTTTCAGAGTTAGGTAAATTATCGAACAATTAAAAAGATTTTGGGTAATAAGCAGATGTCTCAGAATTTATAATAATAGATGTAATGATAATTCATATTGCTACTGATTAGCTGTATAAGCAGCAATTAAGTGGCAGTATGAATTATCATTAACACAATCTAGAAAAAAACCTTAATAAGCCAGAATATTAGTAATTGTTATAGTAAGTATTTGTAGTCGATCCAAATTTATTAACTTAACTTAGCTGATATTTAAAAATCAGCTTAGCTGGCTAAGTTGGAATCGATAATCCTAATTGGTTAATTAAAGGTATATGATCTTAAAACTGTTTTCATCTGGTAAAAAAATTAGCCAAATGATTGTCAATTGTTGATAAGTTTTTTATTTTAGTATTATCAGATTACTGTAATGCCAAAAATACTGTGATTTGGCCTAAACTTAATTAGTTATTGTAATTTTTAATATAACCTATTATAAAATTAACTTGACTAAGTTGATTTTTTGAAAACTCAGCTTAGCAGGCTAAGGTTGATTTTTTAAAAAAAATCAGCTGACTAAGCTGGCTAAGCTAATTTTATCAACTAATGCAAAATCGACTACAAACACTAAAAATCATTAAGTGCCTTAATGATTAATACATGTACATAAATCATATCTAACTAGTTGATTTATCTTTATTAATGATAAATTAGTATTTGTAGTCTATTTTGCATTAGTTGATAAAATCAGCTTAGCTTGCTTAGTCAGCTGATTTTTTTAAAAAAATCAAACTTAGCCTGCTAAGCCAAGTTTTCAAAAAATCGAACTTAGCCTGCTAAGTCGAGTTTTCAAAAAATCAACTTAGTTGACTTTATATTGATTATAATAAAAAAAATATCTAGAACTTCTAAAGTTTAATTGACTTTGACATAGCTGGCTAAGCTTATTTTTAAACATCGACTTAGTCAAGTCAATAAATTTGATTAACTACAAAACACTAATGATCTTTCATAGTTCATATATATTTACTGATCATTAAGTAATAATTTTTAAATGTATATGAACTATGAAAGACTGTTAAGTGACTTAATAATCTTTTCAATCTTTTAATGATTCATTAAAAGACTGTTAAGTGACTTAACGATCTCTTTTAATTTTTTAATGAATTATTAAAAGACCGTTAAGTAACTTAATGATCTTTTTTAATCTTTTAATAAATCATTAAAAGACTGTTAGATGACTTAATGATCTTTTTAATCTTTTAATAAATCATTAAAAGACCGTTAAGTGACTTAACAATCTTTTTTAATCTTTTAATGATTCATTAAAAAACTGTTAAGTAATTTAATGATTTTTTTTAATCTTTTAATAATTTATTAAAAGACTGTTAAGTGACTTAGCAATCTTTTCAATTTTTTAATAAATTATTAAAAGACTGTTAAGTGACTTAACGATCTTTTTTAATCTTTTAATAATTCATTAAAAGACTATTAAGTGACTTAATGATCTTTTTTAATCTTTTAATAATTCATTAAAAGACCATTAAGTGACTTAATGATCTTTTTCAATCTTATCAAGATTTATTAAAAGACTATTAAGTGACTTAATGATCTTTTCAATCTTTTCAAGATTCATTAAGTGAC